TGTTTTCATCCCAACTGAGCAGTGCACGGCTGGTTGACAGGCTACAAACGTGTCGCATGTGATGTCACGTCAAAATCTGCTCGCAACACTGGCAGGTTGCCCACGCACAGGCTGCAAAGTGGAGGGAAGCACTGTGATTGATTAATCCATGGAGAATATCTCAAGTTGAGTAATGTTGCTAGATGTCTGTTACGGCCCGGTCTTGGGGTACATAAGGTTTATAAGCAAAATGACCCCGGCCTGGTTCCCAAAACCATACCAAGCTTCAGATTGTGCAAATGTCTTGAGCCACCATTCATTTCTTTATTCTTTTTTTTCCTTAAAAGTAAAATTTTCTTCTACACTGTAAAAGTGGTTTTGTGTATTTGTTTGCCCGACTTTCTGAAGGTCTTTTCTTTGCAGTCTAAAGTTCATACTTCACCATTTTCCTAGGATGTTCAATAGAGACGGCTCCAAACATCTGTAAGATCTAATAAGGGCTCTGTCATGGTTTCGGGCTACATTTCAACCAGTAGTGTTGGAGATCTTGTCAAAACTGACTTATGAACGGCTTTACATTTGCAGTCTGCCTTTGGCGTTTTGGCCAGTATCTGACATTCAGTAGTCACCTCATTGCTTTGATGCACAAAACCACAAAAAAACCTGAGTACACAGTAATCACTAATCAGTAATCTGTAGACTTATTATGTTCTTGCATCAGAAGGATCTGTGAAAACCGATGTAGCTCCAGTACTGGTTTTGCAAAAATGTTCCAAAAAGTAAAAAACTGAGCTGTGTGAAAGATGTTTGAGAACACCAACGAAATCCAGCATACACAGCTACATGACACAACAGAGGCCACACACACTTTGGTTTGTTTTCTTTGGACTTACAAACCAATGATTTGTCTACTGGTGATAAACTGTATGCTCGTTCCAACTCATCTCCTGACTTTCAGAACCAGCTTTTCTTGTTGTTGTTGTTTTCTTCTTTCCGAGTATTTACTTTGAGTACAGTGTAATCACGACAGACTTGTCATGATTTATAGATAATAACTTGGTCATTATCAAGGCTAAATAAGCCACCAGTGGCTTTAATCAGGAAGGTACAAATTTTCAGTTTTTAGATGATTATGATGAGTAGGAGGGAATTACTCTAGTGCGTCATTGTGGTTCTAATTTGTAATTCCTGATTCTTCACTTGCAGACAGCCAATGGAAATGTGGAGGCAAAGGTGGTGTGTCTGTTCAGGAGGCGAGACATCTCGGGCAACCTCAACACTCTAGCTGACAGCAACGCAAGTGAGTAGCAACCAGTGAGCCAGAGCTCCTCCCAGTGCTCGTCTTCTCCAGTCTGAGAGCAGCTATGATGTGGCTCCACTCTTTTAATAAACTTCACACTACAACTCTAAAGCACCACTTCAGCTCTGACATTGAAAAATGAAAGGGGGCAAATTTTCATGAATGAAAAAATGGTGTTTCAGAATTTTTACTCTAATTACTTATTTATTAAATGTTTACACAGTTTAAAATGAACCAGTAAAGGCTTTGATTCCCAACCCCCTGAACCACGGTCGGCCATGGTTGCCGGAAGGTCGCCGGTTCAACCCCCAGCTCTGTCTGTCTTGGCCGTTGTGTCCTTGGGCAAGACACTTCACCTACCGCTTACTGGTGATGGCCAGAGGGGCCGATGGCGCGATATGGCAGCCTCGCTTCTGTCAGTCTGCCCCAGGGCAGCTGTGGCTACAACTGTAGCTGCCTCCACCAGTGTGTGAATGTGAGAGTGAATGAATAGTGGAACTGTAAAGTGCTTTGAGGGTCTCAAAAAGTGCTATTTAAATGTGTGTGTATATATACATGTAAATATATAAATAATAATTATTATTATTATAAAATAAATGTATGAAATGCACTTACATTTGTACTGAAATTAGTCCAAAAACTGCTGGCAGCTACACGCTGGACTTAACTAACTGGTGGGGCTTCACTCACACACACACACTGTGCACGTTCTCTTGAGTCAGTTTGGCCCAAGCAGCTCCCGCAGTGTTCAGATTGAGGGTCAGAACTGCATGCTGCCAATTGCATCCACTCTATTTCCAAATTCTGAATGTGGTCTCTGATAGACTCCTTTCGTTGATGGCAAGTTATCATCTTGGAGTTCAGTCCCAGACTGTGGTGTAATGGGATTACCACAGTCTTGATATCTTGATTGCCTCCAATGATAACAAGCCTTGTTTTTTTCCAGTGAGGGAGATGCCGCTCCCCACCATCACATGCAACTCCACAAGCTAGGAGCCTGTGACTGCAGACACTGTAACTGATTCAGTTACTGCAATCATCCTTAGAAATTTCACTATAACAGCTGATAAGCTATTAGTGGCTGACATTGAGAAATCCTACCAGTGGTTGGACTGAAAGACAGCACAGAGGCGCTAATCATGGCAGCACAGGAACAAGCTCTGAGCACAAGATTCATAGAGGCTGGGCTCTGTCACACCGGGTGCAGGCTGTGCAAAGACGGTCTGAGACAATCCAGCACATAACAGCACGGTGTAAGATGCTAGCAGGCAGGGAGCGCCATAACCAGCCTGTTCCACCCTGTGAGCCCAGTGTCTGTTCTGTGTGTTAGTAGAGGGTTGAAGCAGTGAGTTGTTGATAATGGCACGCACACTGCTGGAGACTGATCAGTCAGTCATTAGCCCCTCCCCAACACCAGCTCTACCTCCTTACTCCTCAGGCTGCAGTTCTGCAGACAAAGACACGCCCACACGGATGCATTGATAGTTCTCCCCTCTCTGTTCATCAGCACACACACACACACACGCTGTTTGGTTGTTTGTGGTTTTTGTTTGTTTGGTTTTTCTTTTTAATGGTCATATGTTGGCACTTGTAACATTTGTCCAAAATGTGTGCCATCAGTGTATCTGCTGGCAGCATTCATGTGTCCTCTTTAAAGGTATGGCTGCTCTTTAAAGGAGGCTGAGCAGTCTGTTTCCCATACATGGAGGATTTAGGAGATGTAGCACATGAGCTGAACCCCAGCTGATCATTATTAAATAGCTATGCCGGTCTTCATCTATCTATAATATTTAATATTTGTATTTATTTATTATTGTGCTAGATGCCAGAACTACATGTATATACGTGTGTGTAGGGTTTTTAGCGTTCTTTTTTTTTTTTTTTTTTTTTTAAATCGTTTTTATCGCTAACTCTGTTTCCCTGGGACTTTTCCCGTGTATTATAAATAAATCTTGGTACCGGTACTGGTTTTATTTTGTTGTATTTATCCGCGACAACTTAAAGGCCGGACATAAACCGATCCGTGGCGCAAAAAAGGTTGGGAACTGCTGAGCTAAAACGGCTCCCGAAACATGCTAGTAGTACTAAAAGCTCATGTTTGGCATCTTAAATGTGATGAATTTACATTCATGACGTTCAGAGAATGCGGTTTAAATCCAGACTGATTTTTGCATGAATTAAGAGAGAGCTTTTCATAGGATAATTTGCAGATTCTATAGATTCCAAGTCACTGCTAATGTTAAACTTTGTTCATTAGTGAGTAGTACATGATAAGAACAACGATGTATTCACCTAATTGCATTAGTCTTCGTCAGCAAAGCATGTAAGTGTCACACACACACACATAGATTTGGCCACAACATGTTATGTTACTGTATAATATATATATATATAATAAAGACTCCCCAACAAGTCTTGCACTGAACATAATTACAGAGAAAATGAGTCATTGTTGAGCTTTTTAATGGCTGTTAGCTTCCACTGTGCTATGTTAGCTCTCTAGCTAGCCACCAGTGCACTGCAGCCACGATGTGTGAGGTAGAAAAGAAGCAAAGAGCTGATACTGGATGGATCAGGTCATTGCTCATGTATAATTGGCAGAAGGGGGAAAAATATTTGCAAGAGAAGACGATAATAATAAAATAAAGAATGAATTCTGGAACACTGAGAGCTTCACACTGTAACAACAGCCTGACTTCTTCAGTGATGATGAATGAGTGTGACTGAGCAGGTTTGTTGTGAGAAGGGAATTTTTGTGAATGCTTTTATTTGGGAAAAAAAATGAGAACATGAATTCACTGTGGTGTATCACACTTGTGGATCATATCGTGTGTGTTTGTAATGCTTCAATACAAATAGTTACATGGATCAGTGAAGTAATGCAAGAGCACAATAGACCCATTACACACAAGTCGAATCCAGACTGTCCCCTCGAACTCTCTCAGCCTGGGCCATGATACGCTGCACAGTCTTTAAATAGAATATAATAGCCTTTTATTGTCACTGTACGTATGCAGCCATACTGTGGGTGCTCCACACCAGCTGTGGATCGTATAAAAATATAAAGCGCTGTATTCTTACTTGCTTTGACTGCCTCATGCAAAAGGCTAAAGTGGCTACTGCAGGATTCTAACAAACACGCTGTTGTTTTGTCATTGAACATCAAACAGTGTGTCTAATAGGAAAAATGTTTTCAGGCCAGTCTTTGTTTGTTTTATTTTTTTTACTCATTTCATAAAATAGCTTAATTTCCAAATGTATCCAGTTTTGCTCGGCAGGTGAAACTGCAGCTAGCGTTTGGAGTCAAATACTTCTCGTTACATGGTAGTTACAGTGTTCCTAATGTCACTGCTTAACTGACTTATCAAGATTGTTTTATAGACAACTTTAAAAACCTGCTCGACACACTAGTGTGTGGTGCACTGAAGTGTGGCAGAGGCACACAGTGATCCATCGTTGACCTTTGTGGGTACGAGTAGTCCTGCTCTACTCTGTTTAGGTCTGGGTCGATCGCTTCTAGGCCTCTTAGTGCTGAAGAAGTGCACGT